GAGGCCGCGAGGTCGGCGAAGCTCGTATAGGACGTAGCCGGGACGTCCCGGAAGCTCGTGTACGACGGCGACGCGTCGACCATGACGCTGCCCCGCGGGGGCGCCCAGACTCCAGGATCCTGTGTCAAAACGTCGATGTTGAACTAGTTATTGAAGGGGACACCGCTCGACCGACCGTCGACGTTCGCTGCGACATCTAACGACCTGTAAGGAGCTGCACGTGTCCCCCGCGTTCTCCCCGGCGTGCTTATCGTCGGGTCCGCGCGGCGGCGAGGGCCGCGAAGTCGTAGCCCGCGCGGGCGCAGTGGGCCCAGTCGAAGTCCGCGTAGACGTAGGGGAGGTTCGGCTCGCGCGGCGACGCGAGGGCGAGGAGCTCCTCGTTCGTGTAGGCCGCCGGCGCGCCGTCGCGTCCCTCGAGGAGGGAGAAGGCGAAGGGCACGACGTCGGTCCGCGCGTGGCCGTAGCAGCCGGCGGTCGCGGCGTAGTTTTCGTCGGGCCACGACTCGTTGGCAAAGCCCGTGCTGAGCTGCTTGTACTGGTAGAGGCGCTCGATGGTCGGGTGCACGGGCCAGAACGAGGGGTCGAGCGGGCTCGCGGCCTCGAGGTGGTCGCCGTCGGTGCCGAAGCCCGCGTCGCAGAGGTGCGTCATGACCTTGACTTTCAGCGCCTCCGAGAGCCAGTCGTAGCGGCTCGAGATGGTCTGGAGGGACCCGGCGATGGCCGTGTCCCAGGCCATCATCTCGCCCCAGAAGGCCTCGACGGCGCCCGTGTTGTTGTGCGCGAGGGCCTGGTTGAGGTTCGTCGGGTAGTCGCACGTCGACGCGCAGTCCGACGACGGCGCGTCGGGCGAGCAGAACGCGGGGAACGCGAGGCGGTCGAGGCGGTAGAGGTTCTTGAGCGCGAGGAACATGTCCGTGCGCAGCAGGTACATGAGGTCCGACGACGTCGACGCGAAGCCCGGGTACTTCTTCTGGTTCACCTCGTCGCGGAGGAACTCGAGAAGCTCCGTCGCCGTGTCGTTGCAGTCGAGCGTGCCGCCGACGTACTGGTGCACGGAGCCGTGGGGCGCGTAGGGCAGCTGCCAGGCGAAGTCGAACCAGGAGTCCGTGCCGTTGAGGAGCGCGAAGTGGGCCGCGCAGGACGGCGTGTCCTCGAACTTGTAGCCGCACAAGCTGTCGGACCGCGTGACCCAGGGCCGGTCGTTGTTGTTCCAGGGCGCGCGCAGGAAGCCGTAGGAGTTGTGCACGGGCGCGTCCCAGGCGCCCTGCTCCGCGGCGACGAAGGCCCAGCGGCCCGTCGCCACGGTGTTGACGGCCGGGTCCGCGGTCCCGAACCTGTGTGGAAATCAACCAGTGGAACGCCCTGTCCAGCAAAAACTTCAAACCTCTCTATCTCGATCAAATCGAAGTCGATTCGGCTGATTTTTGGACGAATCGATTGCTCTCGTCGAGTTCTCGAAGCACAGCCGAAGAGCTTGCATCGAAACTGTCGCATGCGTGCACATTGAAGTCAGCTTGAATATTTGATTTCCACACGGTCCCGAACCAGTCGCTCCGCCACATCGCCGAGCCGCCGAGCGGCCGCGCGCCGCGGTCCGCGTCGTGGCGGTCCACCGTGTAGTCCCAGTAGGGCAGCGCCACGGCGGCGTCGACGGCCTGGATGCTCTGCTCGAAGGCGAGGGACAGGCCCAGGTGCATCGTCAAAAACCCGAGGCCGTCGTGCATGTGGTCGCACGCCTTGTCGCCGGCGAGGGCCGCGTGCTGCCGCGTCAGGGCGTAGATGTCGACGTAGGCCGGCCCGTAGGCGTCGCTGCAGTTGCGGCAGCTCCAGAGCACCTGCATGGCGTCGAGGAAGCGATTGCGGTCGCCGTCGGTGAGCTGGCGGATCTCCCGCCGCGCGTAGCGGCAGACCAGCAGCGCCGTCGCCGCCGCGACGGCGCGGCCGTCGGCGTCGTAGGCCGTCGCGGAGACGCGGTACTCGCCGAGCGCGGGGAACGTCGCGTTGACGGCGAAGCCCGAGGGCGCGGCGCGGCCGTCGCCGAAGGTCCAGACCGCGGCCGCCGCGGACCGCGGCGCGCCGGCGACGCGCAGCTCCGTCGACGCGTGGGGCTCGACGAGGGCGTCGTAGCGCCCGCTCGCGAGGAACGGGTACTGCGCCGCCGTGTTCGCGCCGTAGGGGCCCGTGACGGCGATGTCCATGGCGTTCGACGCCAGCCGCGGCGCGGGGCGCGTCGCGCGGGCCGTGGCGGCGGCGACGGCGGCGAGCAGCGCGAGACCCGCGACGACGGCCTTCCTCGGTGGTCGTTGCGGTGGCGGTGGCGGCGCGGCATTGTTGTCGAGCAGCGACGCCGCCTCGGCCGCGGCGGGCTGCCCCATGCTTGCTCGTATGCCAATCTTGGGGCGGTTTGTCGTGCCGTGCCGTATCATCACGCATCGCCGCCGGGGGTAGGGGCGGACAGTGAAGCCCGGGCGCTTCGGGGCCGCTTCGGCTGGGTCCGGTTTCCTGGATGGGTCGGGAGCAGTGCACCGAGATGCTGGTTTAGTGCAAGGACCTAATTTGGGTATGTTGCGTTGGGCCTGGCCCCACGCGTCTCTGCCGAGTTTCGTGGCTGCACTAAATCAGGAACCCCCCGCACCGCGAATGCATGGTGCCGACAGCACTGGTGGCGGCCCTCGACAAAGCGCTTCGGGACGTCGCGGGCCGACGCCAGGCGCCTCCCGGCGGCGCGGAGTCACGTCGCCGCGCGTTCGGAACCGTTCCTGCGTGCCCTGCGGCGCTGCTCTGAGCCGCAGAGCCTTCGGCGCTGCTCGTGCGCGCCTGGAGCGCCCGCTCTGGTGAGGCTTCGGTGAGGCACCGGAACTAGATCGCTTCGCTGGGCGCTGCTGGGCGTCGCGCCGACGTGTCGAGTGTTCAGTGCACTCCCAGGTCGACCTACGAGGCGCGGGAACACGCGCTGCGCCTACCGCTCGTGGCGTCTGCGCTGGCACAGGCGCGAGACGGGATTGGCGTTTCTCGCCTGGAAACGAGGCGATGGGCCACAACGCGTCCTCGCGGGCTACAGGCGTCGGACGGCTGCGCGATGGGTTCCGACGACATGTATATCGACTCGAGTGCGCCCACGCCAGCCCAAAGTCGCCGGAGCGCCTCGTACACGCGACCGCGTTTTGCCCGCGCGGGAGGAAAATCGAGACTTTGCGAGGTCGTAGCTCCGCGAGATCGAGGTCGATTTACGCGAACCCAGACTCTCTAAGTATCAGTTAGAAGTCGGCTATCCATCGCAAGTGACCGCAAGGTCGAACTCGACGGTCCACCGCCGGTCGACTTTCACTGTCCGCCCCTACCGGGGGTCCTCGGACGACGAAGAGAGCGACTGACTTGAGCTTTGCGCAGTCGTGTGTCGACGCTGATGAAGCTGCTAAAGTTCGCGTTCCTCGGCGTCGCCGCGGCGTTCGCGCCCCGGAGCCCCGCGGCGGCGCCCCTGGCGCCCGTCGCGCCCGCGTCGACGACGGCGCTCAACTCCATCAAGATCACGGTGCGGTCGGGCGAGTCGGTGGACTCCGTCATCATGCGCCTGCGCCGCGAGGTGAACAAATCGGGCCACCTGCGCACGCTGCGCAACAAGCGCTACCACGAGGACGCGCGGGAGAAGAAGAAGCGCAAGCTCGCGGAGGCGCGACGGAAGATGAAGTTCGCGCGCCAGCGCAAGCGCCGCGCCGCGCGCCGCCGGCGTCCCCGAGGCCGCGCGCGGAGCCGTCGCTCACCGGGCCGCGCCCCCCGCAGGTCCAGCAGGGCCCCTAGGCGCCTCGCCGCCCCCCGCGCCCCGCGCGCAACCGACGGCCCCAACCCCTCCGGCGCGCGGCAGCCGCCGCCGAGGCGGCGACCGCGCGCGCCGCCGAGGCGCCCCACGGCATCGACGGGCGCCCGGCTAACAAGTACGCGACGAGCCCCGTTGGAGAGGGTCGTGGCGGGGGACTAGTGGAGCGCGTAGCCGGCGGCTCCGAGCGCGGCGGCGGCGGTGAGTTGGTGAGAGCTGCACGCGCTCCGAGAGAGCACCGCCGCCACCGGCGCTCTCCCTGTGCACCGACCGCCACCGGCGCTCTCCCTGTGCACCGACCGCCGCCAGCGCTCTCCCTGTGCACCGACCGCCGGCGTCCAGCGATGGCGCGACGCGTCCTCGCGGTCCTCCTCGGCGCCGCCGCGGCGCGCGCCGTGACGCTGCACGGGTCCATGGGGTCGCGGTCGCCGCTCTGCAACTGGTACCTCGAGGAGCGCCAGATCCCCTACACCATGGTCGCGCCGCGGCCGTCGGCGCACCCCTTCAACCAGGTGCCCTTCCTCGCCGACGACGGCGGCGTCGAGGTCTTCGAATCGGGGGCGATCCTGCTCTACCTCGCCGACAAGTACGACGCGGGCTGCGGCACGCCCGAGGACCGCGCGAAGCACGCCAAGTGGGTCGTCTGGGCCAACGCGGCGCTGGACCCCATCTGCTTCGTCGAGAACGACCGGGGCCAGGTCGTCGGCACGAAGCTCGACCAGCCCGGCCGCGCGGTCAACGTCCTCGACGAGCTCCTCGCGAGCTCCGAGTACCTCGTCGACGGCGCCTTCTCCGTGAGCGACGTCGCCGTCGCGTCCTACCTCAACTACGTGCCCCTCTTCTTCCCCTCCGTGAACCTCGGCAACACGCCCAACGTCTGCCGCTACATGAAGCGCTGCGCGGAGCGGCCCGCGTTCGCGGCGGCCTTCGGCGACGCGCACTCCGCCGCGGTCCTCAAGGCCGTCGACCGCGCGGCCCAGGGCGGGGACAAGAAGCTCTTCGGCATCTTCTAAGCGGGCTAAGTTAGGTGCTCTCAAGCGAGGCCGGATCCGAGCGACGGGGCTGATGCGTATTGCAGAGAGCGGACGCGCTCGCGGCGATCGCGTTCCGCGAGCTCCTCGAGAGCTGCCCGCATCGCCAGACCGTAGTCGTCCTTGCTCGCGCGTCGCCATGCGGAGGACTTCGATGCTGGGGCGTTCTGCTGCCCCGCCGGCGCGGCTGCACGGGCGCGCGCCTCCTGGTCGTCGAGCTTGTCGAGGAGGCTCAGGACGTACAAGGCGCCGCTAGGATCGGGACTTTGAATCTGGCTCTCACGAGTTGGGTCGATATAGATGCCGACGTTCAGCTTTTCCATGTCCTCGACGACGGCGTCAACAGACGTCGGCGAGCGCCGCGGTAGTAAGGCCGACAGCTTCGCGATCGTCGCCGCGTGGCCTGCGGGGCCGCGCGCGGTTCCGGCGGGAAATTTCAAACAAAGGGCGCGGGCCCTCGCGCACGGGATCTTTGCACTCGAGGTGCTCTATCAACAGGCGCCCGCACTCGCCGCAGCCGCCGTGGGCGCCCATCATGAGGAACTTCAGCTGCTCCTTGGACCCGTCGACCATGAGCTGCGCGATGAGGAGGCAGAGCTGGTTGGACCCGTCCGCGAAGTGCGGCAAGTGGTCCCGGAAGAAGCCGAAAGCCTCGTGCGTGACGGTGCGGCAAATGATCGTCGCGAAGGCCTCCTGGTCGAAGGGAAGTTGGAAGGCTTTGTTGACGCCGACGTCGCAGACGCTCGCGCACATGACGACGGGCAGCGTGAAGCGGACGTCGAACGGGTCCACGCGCTCGACGAAGTAGGCAAATTTGCCGACGTCGTGCTGCGTGAACGCCGCAAAGGCGCGCCAAAGCGGCGCGATGGGGACCTGCGGGCATTCGGGGGGTCGGCACAGCCGGCGCGGTCGGCGCGGTTCCGCGGAACCGCGAGCGAGTGCGAGCGCGCGCCGAAGTTTCGTCGAGGGGCGCGGGAGCGCCGACGTCCACGGCCAAGGCGTCGATGCCCGACGTGTACCGGATGACTATTTTAAGCATAGTCAAAGCGGGGTCGAGCAGTAGCGTTCGCGTTTTGCCTGCGCGCGACGCGATCGTTCGACGGCCGCGCGGTCGCGCGGAGGCGGCGGAGCGACGCACGGCGCGCCCCGGACGCGCCACACTCTCTCGGTGGCGATGTCGCGCGTCCGCGCGCGATGACACCGGCGCCGCGCGAGTTTTGAGGACGTGGTCGGGGTAGTCCTTGTTGACGCGTCTCGAGTGGGCCTTGAGCCGTTTCAACTGTTGCGCCCGTATCTTATCATGGTCGGCGAAGATCTTGAGCAGAGTCTTGAACAGCTCGGGGTCGATGCCCCTGATGGGCGAGTGGTCGCCCTGCGACGCGCGCATCGAGGACTTTATGCAAGCTTTCGCCACAACTTGGCACAAGCCTCCACTCCAGAGCTCGAGAGTCGCCAAAAATCTACCCAGACGACCTAAAAACGGCCCACACGGACCCCTAGCCCCCGTCTAGGTCGGCGAGGCAGGCCCGGCGCGCGTCGGCGAGGGCCGGGAGCGCGTCGGCGACGACGGCGGGGTTCGCGTCCGTCTTGCGGTACTTGAACTTGCGGTTGAACCAGTAGCGGCCCTTCTGGTTCCGGTTGCCGGGCCGGTCGCCCTCCGGGTCGTCCGTCGCGTAGCCCGCGAAGGGTACGGCGCCGGCCTGGAGCGCGAGGGCGAGGTAGAAGCCGGGCATGTAGAAGTGGCGGGGGAAGAGCTCGAGCACGGCCGTGCATTTCCGCGCGAAGACGAGGTTCGAGAGCTGGGCGCCGTGGGGCGAGACGACGACGTCCGCGGCGTGGACCCAGGCCGCCTGCGCCGCCGGGGCGAGGGCCTCGAAGTAGGCCTCGTCCGCGACCGTCGCGTCCGGGAACGCCGCGCGCGTGCGATTCAGGAACGCGCCGTCCGCGTCCCACCTGCGGTGGCTCCTGCGGTTCAGCACGCCGACGCGGAGGCCCGCGCCCGGGGGCGGCGGCGACAGGCCCGCGGCGGCCTGGAGCGCCGCCGCGTGCGCGGGGTCCGCGAGCCACAAAATTTCGGACCCGGCGTCGCCCGTGCCCGTCTTCCGCCGGAGCCGGCCCTCGAGGGGGCAATCTCCGGCGACGCCGGACCGGTCGGCGACGACCGTCGCGCCCATGGCGTCCAGGACGAAGGCCGTCCAGGGGTGGGACGCCGTGAGGCCCACGTCGCCCGTCAACAGCACGTAGCGCGCCTTCTTCGGGTGCCACGAGAAGAGGCTCCAGCAGGGCAGCAGCACCTGCTGGGCGTGCTGCCAGTGCGTGCCGCTGAGCCGCGCGGGCGCGTTCTTCGGCGTCGCCGCGCAGACGACGCTCGTCGCGTCGCAGCCGTCGACGGTCCCGTTGACGACGAAGTCGGACGCCGACAGGAAGGCGCCGCGGCCGCGCTGCGCCGCCGGCCACGTCCAGCGCCGGACGAAGTAGGGGCCGCTGCTGTTCGGCGACGGCCGCGGCGCCGCGGCCACCGAGGCGGCGACGGCGAGCAGCCCGACGCTACGACGCATCCATCGCGCTCGTTTATTGTGTGTGCAACCCGTTTGTTTGAACATTCGTATCGACTCAAAACGGGCTTGTGCCGGGCAGCCCAAGAGCTCGGACAGCTCCGTTTGCCGCCGCGGACCGAGCGCGGCCGGCCTCGGCGCCAGCGCCGCCAGCGCGACGAACCGCGGCGCCGATGCCGCCGATGCTGCGATGCGTCGTCGCCGCGGCGCTGGCCGCCGTCGCCGCCGAGGGCGCGACGGTGCTCCTGTCCAAGGCCCGCGTCTACGCCGAGGAGGGCGGCCGGGCGACCTACACCGTCGTGCTCAGCGAGGCGCCGACCGCCGACGTGACCGTCGCCATGACCATCGGCGACGATTCGCTGCTCAAGTTCCTCACGAGCGCCTCGCTCACGTTCACGAGTAGCGACTGGTCGGCGGAGCAGACGGTGCGGGTCAAGGCCAAGTCGAACGGCGACGACAGCGGCGCGCTGTACACGGACGTCGCCGTGACCCACGCGGCCTCGAGCGCCGACGCCGACTTCGACGGCGCCGCCTTTAGCGCGTCGGACGAGGTCGTCGTCCGCATCTACGACGACGACTCGTGCGTGAGGGATTGCGCGCCGGGGACGTACTACGACGCCTGCAACCACACGCGCGCGTGCCTGCCCTGCCTCGAGGGCCACTGGTGCGCCGGCGGCTGCGCGAGCCCGCAGCCCTGCGCCAGCGGCACCTTCTTGCCGTCGACGAGCGGCGCGGCCGAGGCCGACTGCCGGAGCTGCACGGCCGGCAACTACTCCGCGACGGCCGGCGCGGCGACCTGCGCCGCCTGCCCCGCGGGCTACGCCTGCCCGTCCGCGGCGGCGGCGACGATCTGCCCCAAGGGCACGGCCGCGGCCCTCGGCGCCGCGGCCTGCGCGCCGTGCGCGTCCGGCTCGTACGCGTCGTCCGAGGGCTCGGCGACCTGCGCCGCGTGCCCGCCGGGCTACGCCTGCGCCGACGCCTCGGAGCCGCCCGTGGCTTGTTCGCCGGCGAGCTACGCCCTCGGCGCCGCGACGAGCTGCTCCCCGTGCCCCGCGGGCTCGTTCTGCGCGTTGACGTCGAGCGAGGCCCAGGCCTGCGAGGCCGGCACGTTCTCGCTGTCGAACTGGGGCTACTGCGCCCTCTGCCCCGCGGGCCACGGCTGCGCGTCGACGAGCGCGGCGCCGGCGGCGTGCGCCGCCGGCGCGTCCGCGCTGGTGGGCGCGACGGCGTGCGACGCCTGCGGCGCGGGGACCTACGCGAACGAGACCGTCGCGCGGCGCTGCGCGGCCTGCCCCG